GAGGGAGGGAGAGAGCGCAAGCAACGTTATGAGAGAGAGGGGGAGAGAGAGAGGGACAGAGAGAGAGAGACAGACAGAGAGAGAGGTGAAGCTCGTTCGGCCTCGTTTGACACAAATCTGCTCCACGTGGGTTTCTAAAAAAAACAACAGAATTTAGCCTTAGGGAGATTTAAATTGGCCCCTGTGTTCATTAAGGGAATACCTCTTTGACAGCAAACCCCTGCACATACGCACACAATCAAACACACACACACACACACACACACACACACCAGCTCCCTGCTGGGTGCCCTTTGGCAAGACACTGACTTCCTGTCAGATCCTAACCTCTGACCTCTCGCTGCTTCCCTACAGGAAAACGCAGAGTAATACATAATGATGATTATTATCATAAGGAAGAGAACAATTATTTACATTATTATAATTAGTTGTAGGCAAAGTATTGGTAGAAGCAGCAGTATTTGGTGTTGTAATACATACTATATACTTAACTATATAATAATGGTATTACTAGTATATAATCTAGTAAAACACATTAGTCAATGTAAGAACTAACTAAGGCTTTAGAGTAAAGGTGCAAAAGGTTATATATGTTGATTACACAAGTTTGTGTTTTGTGCAGAAATCTTAATATTTCACCAGTTCACCAGAGAACAATGCATTGTGTCTAAAACTTAAAAATGCCAGGCTGTATTTTCTGCATTCAAATTGATTCTCCTGCTTTGAGCCGACTTAACGGAAGATAAACTCAGACATCTCATTGACTCTGTGCAGAGCGGATCTTCGAGGATCATGAGAACCTGGTGGAGAACCTGCTGAACTGGACCAGAGACAGCCAGAACCGCCTGATGTTCACTGAACGCATCGAGAAGTATGCTCTGTTCAAAAACCCCCAGGTGAGATCCATGAGCTCATAGAAACACACAGAGGGCCTTAACTAAAGCTCATTGTTTAGTTAAATAATACAGATGTTTTTGTTTTATTTATCTTACTAACCAGTGGTTTGTTTATCTCTCTTAACCCCATCTGCTGCAGAACTATTTGTTGGGGCGGAAGGAGACATGCGAGATGGCTGAGAGAAACAAAGAGGCTCTGTTAGAGGTTGGTTTGTTTTCTCCTCTTCCTCAAACGCATCTTCACCCTGAAATGCTCTAGAAAGTTCACATCTCAGTCGTGATCTACCAGCGTTGATGTTCTAGAAATGGCATTCCGAGACACACTTTCACATGGAGCTAGCACACTGATTATATGGCTACTGGCATGCCCATTTAATTCTGTTAAAGGAATACTTAACCCACAGCATGACCATTTGTATATTAATTGCGTTTACAATTCCTGAAGTTTTTTTTTCCTCTCATGCTTCCACGGTGAACGAAGAGTCCAAAAACAGAGAAAAGTCTCGATGAATTGAAGTTCAACAACAGCAAAACTATGTCTCATTTATCCAGTCGTTCTTCTTTAGTAAAACTGTACTATTTAAAACCCTTGAACGGTAACACAAGGTGCGTATTTGATAAATAAGTGGTCATTCTGCGGATGAAGCATTCCTTTAAGTAACGTCCTTACGCATTCAATACTTGGCCTTGCGTTACCCATCGCTATCGTGTTCCCCTGCCACGACGCTCTGCAACCCAACTGTATGAAATCTACATAGAAATAGATGATAATGGTTTGAATGTGAGAAGAGCAGTCCTCTGTCACAGCAGTGAAGAAGTGTTTACTGTGAACAACAAATCGCTCCCACTCATTCTTCAGTTCAACTGGTGAAAATGCGGTGAACACTGAAACTAAACAAACACTGAACAAGTATCTGCTGTTTCTCTCTGTGTGTGTGTGTTTGTGTGTGTGTGTGTGTGTGTCAGGAGTGTTTTGGCGGCAGCTCCGTGTCCGTCCCCGAGATGGAGGGAGTGTTGTGGCTGAAAGAGGACGGAAAGAAGTCGTGGAAGAAACGCTACTTTCTGCTGAGGGCTTCTGGCATCTACTATGTCCCCAAGGGAAAGGCCAAGGTGTGTGTAGTGACGAGAAGCTGAGAGTTTTCTTTTTGTTAAACAGCAATGATATTTAGTTATCGTGAATCTGAACGTGTTTGTGTTTGTGTAGGCATCCAGAGACCTGGTGTGTTTCCTCCAGCTGGATCACGTTAATGTCTACCATGGACAGGACTACAAGAGCAAGTACAAGGCTCCTACTGACTACTGCATGGTGCTGAAGGTACAGTCACACACAAGTACACCTGAACACAGGCGTGATGGGGTTCATGGTTAAATCTCTATACTGTCTGGTTTGTGGCACCGTAGTCTCCCGATGCCACCTAGTGGTGCAACACAGCAATGACACCTATTTCAAAGAAAAGACAACAGACTATAATAATTAATAAAACAGTGCTTTTTGTAGGTTTATTGCATTAATACTGCAGTCGTCTGATTGAAATTTTAGATGATACATACATTTATGTATTTGTGACAGGAGTTGAGTAATAGCAGCAGTAGTAGTAATCTCAAAAGTAGCAGTAACTAATAGTGCTAGTATCATAACAAAGTATCCTGTAGATGTGAGCTGCTACACAAAAGTCACAAAAGTACACAAACAATGTGAAAGATGAAACCTGTGCATTAGGAGAAGTGTTTCACTAGTTCCCCCGTCGCTATATTTAAGTGTGTGTGTGTGTGTGTGTGTGTGTGTGTGTGTGTGTGTGTGTGT